AGATTCCTCTATAGTTTGATGTTTCCATCGGATCTCCTTTTTTGTATATCGGGCAAATGATCGCTGTTTTCCAGTCGTTCGGGACTTTTCCACTTACCCATATTTCCTTGATCAATAGCCAAATCTTTGATATTAATTTTGGGTTAGCTGCTTTAATTAATTCCGCATTGATATTGTCCTCCCCCGGTGCCTTATTGTTTTTTAGAKATTTAATTATCTGTGTTATTTCTTCATATTCTGGTTCTGGTAATTCTGGCTGTACCGAGTAGTTAGTGGTATGTTCTTGATATTCCTCTGAGTGTACAACCTCGTTAGTAGTACTCAGTAATTCTTTGAAATGTTTCCGGAATTTTTCAACTATATTTGATTCCTCAGTAATCAAACAGCCATGAGCATCTTTAACTATGTTGGTTTTGGCTTTAAAACCCTCCTTGATAGATCTGCATTTTCCGAAAAATAGCCGTGGGTTCCTTCTGTGTTCTTCTATGTTTCTTATTTTTTGTTTTTCATACTCTCTCTTTACGTTTCTYATTTTCTTACTTGCAATTTTTCTGAGATCCTGATATCTTTCCACAATTTCCGGCGTTGGGTCCTGGATCATTTCCTGTCTAGCTTTACTTCGCTTTTCTGTAACGTCTCTACATTCGTCATCAAACCATGGTTTCTCTCTGGTTTGTGTTTTTTTCTTAAACAAATAGGCCGCTTTATTAACAGCTTCCTTGATGATATTCCACCCTTTTTCACTATTAGGTTTCGTATCCAGTTTATTTGATTCCAGGATATTGTTAAGATTATTATGGTAGGCAGTTATTTCTTCCTGGTTTTTTATTTTGTCCATAATATCTAATCGAGCATTTTTCTTTATTCCTTTTTGGTTCATATTCCATTGTCTTGACAATTTCACTTTTAATGAACTAATAACCAGGTAATGGTCAGTGTCGCCATCCGCTCCTCTATAGCTTCTTACGGAATTTATACTAGATTTAAATCTTTTTTCAATCACTACATGATCTATCTGGCTTTTGTATTGGCCACCTGGGGCAAACCAGGTGTGTTTATATATATCTTTTCGTTGGAACTGCGTACTGCTTATTACCAACCCTTTATCTGTGCAAAGACTAATTAACCTCATACCATTATTGTTGCTTTCTTGGTGCAAACTTTCTTTGCCCACAATTGGTTTGAAGATACTCTCCCGCCMTACTTGAGCATTAAAATCTCCTACTACTATTTTTATGCTTTCTCTAGGGATATTGTCAAGTACTCTATCAAGGTCATCGTAAAAAAGATCCTTTAGTTCACAATCTGCTGTTTCCGTTGGGGCATAACAATTGACGATCACTGTGTCAAATGTTTTCCCAGTTAATACTATGTAGCATATTCKGTCATTGATCGGTTCGAATTTCTTTACTAATCTCGACACGGATGACTTAATTACAAAACCAACCCCATTCTCGTGTTTTCCATTGTTCTTTCCGCTAAAGAAAACTGTCRTATTTTCGGATTTGATATTGCCCGATCCTGGCCATCTAATCTCCTGCAATCCTACTATATCAACATTGTATCGGTTAATTTCCTTTAATACGCATTGTAAAGAACCTGGTTTATACAGAGTTCTGATATTCCATGTTCCAAATCTTAAAATTCCAGCATTTCCGGTCCGGTTTCCAAGTCTGTTATCCAAATTATCAAACGATTTCCGAGGCTTAGTGGTTTTTGGTTTCTTAACAATATTTTTTTTACAAGGAAKGGTCGTTGGCCCTTCGCTTAACCCCCAACCTGGAGGACCAGACTACCCCAACCAATTAAGGTCAGAGTAGGGCTACTGCAGAGCACTGAACATAAGTGCCCTGGGCGATGGGGACGCCACTTTCCCGACGCCTATTTTAAAATATATAATAATATATATTAGTTTATTATTTTTTAACCGGAAAAACTACAACTGATTATATTGAAATGTGGCAATCTTTAACAAATACGTGTGAATCGATGAATTTGATATTCAACCCTAAAACAATCAGAGTAGATTTTGAAAGGAGTGCACATTTGGCAATTAGACACTGTTTTCCACTATGCGATATATACGGATGTGGATTTCATTTGGGGCAAGCTTGGTATAGGAAGCTCAACCAAGATTTTCCTAACCTCAGAAATGAATATAAAGCCAATACCGAAATCGGAAAATGGATTAAATATTTCTTTGGTTTATCTTTCATTTCCCCTGAAGAAGTTTCTGATGTGTTTTGTGAATTAATCGAAATCGCATCAAATAGTGACGTATTGAATTTTAGCGATTATATGTATGACAATTATATTCAAGAAAATTGTTTATTTCCTCCAGAGATGTGGGCAGAAAAACCATCAAATTCACCTAAAACTACAAATGGACCTGAGGCATTTCATTCTCATTATAATGCACAATTTTACAGTACTCATCCTTCAATATGGAAGGTATGAAATAGTTATTTTATAAATTATWAATTATTAATTTAGTTAATTTAATATATTTTTGTTAAATATGTACTTAGGTAATAGAAACGTTGAAAGAAATACAGACAGAGACCTATGTTAAAATTAAAGATATTTCAAGAGGTATTCACCTTCACTATGACTGTGTAATGTGCCAACAAAATTGTTCATTTTAATGTGTATTTGTATAATTTTTATGACTGTAATTCAATTTATTTTAATTATTTGTATTTATTTATTACATATGATTTRTGAAAATCATTACAWTTGCAATTAAAAAATAATTTTTTATACAATTCTATTGTTCAGCATGTTGATGCGCATTTGATGTATGATAATTTGGTGCAGGTAAAACGGGAAATGCGCAAACGATAATTAGCGTTGATGCGCAAATGATGTACGATATTTTAGTACAGGTAAACAGACGATGCGCAAATGATATACGGCCGTAAATCTTTGTGCTTAGGGTGAGCACTATAAAAATTTCACGGTTTTGTTGCAAAAATTCAATTAAAATTTCATCCTCAGTTGAGGAAAATACAAATTTTTTGGACATTTTGTGTGTTGACGCAAGACGTTTCAACGAAGTACTAGTCCAGACTAGTAGTGCGTCCGGACGCACTGCGACATTTACTGACGCGCTGCGTTAAACGCAWGTAGGAAAACAGTCACAAATAAAATGCATGTATCTAGTAACAATGCGTCTGGACGCTGCAGGGAAAACGTACCTTTAGAAGAATCGAATGGGCAGTACATGTCTGGCGTGCTGAAGGAAAAATATTAAATGAAATAACTTCATGGAAACCAAACAAAAAGAGACCCCCTCGGCTGACCGAGACAACGATGGAGTCACCGAGTATATCAAGACCTAAGGCTAATAGGAGTTGAGAATCCGGAAGAGATGGCAAATGATAGAAAACGACGGGAGGAGGAGGTAGCTGCGGTAAAGGGCCTTAATGGCCTATACTAAGCCAAATAAAAAAAAATTATACAATTATTGATTAATAACAAACTTGCCGTATGGGTTATTTGGTTGGGGGTTTTACGTGTATCCTACTTTGTCGGAAAGAATAAAAAATAAAAAATAAAAAATAAAAATAATAACTATTGCTATATTTGGGAGGAGTGTAATGGAAAGAATGGTAATGCAGAAGTAGGATCATGTTTGATTAAATATTTAACACAGTTATCAGAATYGGTGTCACATGTTACAACAGGGGTGTCCAACTCACGGCCCGCGGCCCGCATGTGGCCATTGTAGATTTTGATGCGGCCCTCACTTCAATTTAAAAACCATGAATTAATTGTAGATAATATATTAATATTACGAGAACAAATTTATTTTAAGAATATAAAATTATAAAAAATCAAATAAACTGTAAAGGCCGATGCACGCGTTTATTATAAATAAATATATTTTTCTGTGCACTTATAATTAAATATTAATACTTGAAAAAATATTTCTGCTTATTATTTTTTATAGTAAAATTATGAAAAAATGTATTGTTGTATTATAGAATATAATTTAATCATTAAATTTGAATGTATTATTATTAAATAAAAATATGTGGCCCACAACAACTTTTACCTATATTATGTGGCCCAGTCTTCACAAAAAGTTGGACACCCCTGTGTTACAACATATTTTTACACATGTGGAGGCCAAAACTGAAACAAAAATATTGTAACAGCTATATTATTTGCAATAAATCATTAACAAAATTTAGAAATAATTGATTTCAAGTACATGGAATCCGGGCATTCTAACCTTGAAGCTGACTCCATGCATACTACCATTGAAAGATCTAGGAAACATAAGAAAAATTATACAACACAATATTGGGCTTTATAATTTACAACAGCTAGATCAAACCAAGTCCATATAAAGTGACATATATCCATTACAACGAATTTTATGACTTAGAAAAATTAGTTAAAGATATGTTAAAAATACAACTAACAACACTGACAACGACAAAGTGAACTGATTGAAAATAAAATGGATCAGATTCCAGAAGACTGAACCTTACATAATACAATATAACTATGGCCTAGATGCAACAGTGTTTAAAAAAATGAACACATCCAAAAAAGAAGGAGGAAAAAAAACAATGGGATACTATTATTTTGARTTCTAAATATGAAGAAAAATTTCCTTTAAGCGAARCAAAAAAAAGACTTAGAATATCTGTTAGAAACTAAAATTATTCCTAATGATTATAAATAGGTATTTCAATGATGAGTTTCCAACCACTAGTTTTCTCAGATGATGAGGATACTGAGTGAAGTTATAATAACTATCTATTTTATAATTAATTAATTTTTTTTTTGTTTTTATTAAAATATAATTATTATACAGTGGATTCTTCTTAATATGGGCATCCGTTTATTGTGGGCAAACATGTCTGGTCCCAATACAAATGTATATTAACAATGTTAAATAAAACCGTTAACGAAAATAGTCCGTCTGATACGCTTGAAGCGTGTGCCCATTTTGTCAACCAGATCCATACTAAACAGCTTAGACAACAAACAATTACAACATTTTGAATAACTTCCACATCCTAATATTAATTTAATTTAATATATTATATGTATTTAGTTTTATTTATATAGTAATTATTTAATATTTTTTTTCGATTATTTGATAATACAAACAAAAACTTTTTTTAAAACTAATTTCAGTTTTTATGARYATACGCTTAATGTGGACAAACAGGACTGGCCCAACGTGCCCACATTGCGGAACCCACTGTATTACTATTAAGATAGCAAGAAAAGTGACTAATTTATAAAATGTTTTATTTCATTGTAAAATACTGAATAAAATAAGTTATGATATTTTTGTTTTATCGTTTTTATATAATATTTTTTTTAATGTTCCATTTTATTTGTTATGCTATAACAAAAAGCAGTTATAATCATAATCATAATTATAACATATTATTATTTAAGTAATTGTTGGTCTTTATTAAAATAAAAACCGATAAAAAGCGTGTTTAAGCATTGCTTTTTATGTTTATAAAATGTGTTAAGTACAATATATATTTATTTTTTTAAGAATACAAATATGGTAAGTGCAAGTTTTTTTAATTTTTAAATTAATTTTTTGAGATTTTTCTATAGCAGAACAAACATTTTTAATCCTCATGACTCATTACATGTTATGGAAAATATAATAAAAACTTTATCATAGTTAGTTACATTTTTGAATTGTTATAACAGTTAAAACTTTAAAATTACGAAAATGTCACTTACGACATGTGTGCACTATGTCATCGATATTATCACGCATTATTTTTATTTTTCGACGGAAAACATTTTTTTGTTTAATCGCTATTACGCCAATCTTTGCCAATGTTAGTGTAGTAAGATCTAAGTGCAAATTCTTAAGATATACAATAAATTAAAAGTGTACACGACCTGATCGAATGCACCTACTTCACGACTCACGAGTGAGTATCTGATGGATAAACAAAACCCCTATGTCATTTGTAGTAGGAGTATAGTTCTATTGAACCACGCAGTATATGGGTTATTATAATATATTTTTTTTTCATGTTTTTGATTAATGCTCTAAAATTAACGATTTAATGTACATGAATAAAATGTGTTATACATTAAGACTATTAAGTAAATTTAAATTACACACTTACATAATGTTGATAGGTAGGGGGGTCGTATTAAAAAATAAATTATTTTGGGGGGTCGTGGATCAAAAAAGGTCGCGCACCACTGACCTATGGTATATTGTCATAGGTATTATTACTACTATTATAATATACTGATTACTGGTTAAACTAATTGTAGTTATCTGGTGAATTGAATTGTTATTACTCATTATAATATTAAATTAGTAGTTTTATTTTTAGTTTCCTGTTAAGCGTTTATTTTGACCGTACTGGTAGTATGGCAGTTGCCGAGCACGTAGTGGATCCGCTGACGAAACCTCTCTCGTACGCGCATGCACATGTCAATAACTCGATAACCATATAAATTTCACAACGATATATTTATTGTTTTAACAAAAATAAAGTTAGTTAATATTGTCTGATTATGATTCTGAAAAAAATATTTGAATTCAACAGAAAAATGTCTGTATATCGTTCGAAACATTTTTGTGCTTCAAAAACTTTTCGTTTATTTGCTGAGTAAATTAATCAATAAATGGTATGGTATGGTAATGGTATAGTCGCATTCTTATACTCTTCGCCACGAGAGAAGGAACCCGTTTCGCGCATGCAGACTGACGACACCTAGCGGTACCATTCCCCCCACTTTGTCCACTACAGTTCGCGATGTGACGTGCGTGAATTTGATTGCGTTTTGTCGGGACACGGGTTACTTCACTCGTGACACGGAGTATAAAATAATTATATTTGTCAGGAGGGGTAAGCTCAATTTTTTTTTATTTTACTCACACGTTCAAAAATACAATTTGTTTGTTAGTCATATCATGTGTTTATTTCAGACGATAACATACAATCGAAGTCTTTAACTCGGCTACTTAACAGAACATTTAACTTAACTCTCGTTCTATTATAGTCGAATCGCACAACATTAACATAAGCTCAGTCCACCGTTACTTTTGAATCGGTTTTAAATTTTTTTTAAAGTTTACAAAGAGTCAAAGCATATACTGACACCTTATCAATAAAATACAAATTGGAACAACATATTTTAAAACAATTGTTTCATAAGTATCGTCATCTCTAACTTGTAAACACACAAACAATTCAGAACCCATAGCTCCAGTCAGGAYACCAGTAGCTGATGAATTTTTCCTCTGTGATATTTTATCAAGTGCAGTGCACCACAACACAAGGAAGTAATTGTCCAATTACATTAATAACTGTATAGTTATCCATCAATAGGCATTTTAAAGAATTTGAAACAGAATTCAAATCATTACTTTCATTAATTTTATTTAATGACTTCTAAATCATTTTTCCAGTTCAAAATTTCTAATATGTATTCAGTACGAGGCAAGCTAAATTCTGAGATCCAATAACTCTAACTAGAGTAAATACCATTAGAGTATACGTACTTACGAAATTCACCCTTAATTTTTTTAAATAACATAACTAGCAATATTCTATAAGAGTTTATTGATAGTATTAGACATTTTTGATAAGTTTTATTAAGTTATTTAGGACCTTAAAAAAAAAGTCATTAAGTAACTTATAAAAAATTTGTTTTGTAACGATTTGAAACCATGTAGAAAAAATTGAGCAGTAAGAAAGTCATAATATATATAATGTAATACGGTACCTCGAAAAAATAACTCCGGAAATTTAGACCCCGAATAAATAACCCCGTGAAAAAATAACCACAGAAAAAATAACCCCAAATGAGATTTTTCAAATTGATCTAAATATTGGTGTTAATATGTCATTGCGTTAAAAAAATTTAAAAATGTTTAATATACCTATTACCTACGTACAATTTTTATGTTCCCACAAATAACGTTAATTTTGGATTCAATGATAAATTATTGATTACCTACGWTAAAAACGATTCAGAGCACGATGCCAGTCTGTCTGTCATAGTGTCATATCGATCAGATATATAATAACAAGGTACAGCGACAATGTGAAATAATATTATAATGGATAATAAAGGTGGCTTTATCTTGGTCGAGGCACGTTTGGACCAGACACGTTAGGGAAACTAATAAAAATGCAACTCGTTTGAACTAGGATTTTGTGAACCCGTTTGGACCAATTTTTATTCATATATTTTACTTCTAAATAATTACTAAAAAGCCCGCTTAGATGTTCCGTTAAACTGTGTAAACTAATTTGTAGATTATGTAGAGAACAAAATTATTTATAATTGATGGCTGACCAAAAACCCACAGTTACATTATAGGTTTATACAATTATTAATATAATATAAATTATATCTGTTACGACACGGCCCTATCGGCCGGTGCGATAATACTAATTGACAATAATTGCGGTTACCTATATATTACTATCGCAAACACTATATTCTACGTATGTGCAGTGGTGACATCGAAGCCCAGTTCCTATACCTTTACCTTACTAKGTTAGTATTRGTATTTTGGTTAGTACATATAGTGCACTATAAAATGGGAAGGAAAATGCTGGTCCAAACGAGTTGTATAAAACTAATATTTTTTAGTCCAAACGGGTCTTCAAAATTGGTCCAAACGAGTTGTGTGTTAGGAAAATTGGTCCAAACTGGTCCTGTCCCTTTATCTATAATGAAAGAAAAATCTATTAAAAAAACAATTCAAAGTCAAAGGATTCAGAATTTTCCAATAGTACCTGAAAATCTAACAGATTTAAAAATAGAAGATATGTACTATGAATATTGWCAATTAATACAATATTGTTTATTTATTATYAATATAGGTACGGAGCAAAACTCGGTCTAACAGGCACAAAATACAACACGCTATTCCATTATATTATAAATAATTATTAATAATAATAATAATACAGTAAATGTATTAACGTTTTTCTGTCACTTTTATTTTGTTTTCCTCAATTTTTTTGAAAACTGTTGGAAAATGTTCACTTTTGACCCCCTCCCAAAGTACCAAATAGATGCATTTTCCTATTTAAAGAGTAACTGAAGTCAAAAATTGAACCGTTATTACTACTCCAAAACGTGATGATAGACACAAAAATAAAAAAACACACATCTTTGTAAAATCATACATTCATCACTCCGTTCAGAATCTAAAAATAATTTATTTAATTAATAATTTCAAATAATCGCTCCACTCAGAATCTAAAAATAAAAAWAATATTATTTTTATTATTTTATCAACATAATATAATCATAATTGTATTGTAGGTGAATGGAGTATTTATGAAAATGAAACGTTTTTATTATTTGATAACCATAGTGAAGAAAATGAAAGGGTCATCAGTTTTAGATCTAGAAGTAACTTGAAGCTTTTAGCTAATTCATATACCTGGTATGCAGATGGTAACTTTGGATTGGCCCCGAAAAWTTTTTTGCAATTATACGTTATAAGAATTAGGAAATATAATGAATTTTTACGGTTCTTTTCTGCCTACTCGAAAAAAAAACTCAAAGTATTTACGAAATAATGTTCCGTGCTATTCTTTCAGTCTGTGAAAAGAATAATATTTTTCCGAAAAATGTATTAGGGGAACATTTAACAATAAATGGATGTTTCTACAATCTTTATCAGAGCACTCACAGGAAATCATTGGAATTAGRGTTAAAAAAAAAGGTATCAAGATGATGATAATTTTAATAACTTTTGTGGTATGTTAGATGGTTTGGCTTTTTTGCCACTAACTAGATTAAATGAAGGTATTGACTATTTAAAATTAAATATACCTCTTGGCGCGGATGATTTATTTAATTATTTTGATGAAACGTACGTGAGTGGAACGTTACGTCGAGTTAATAAACAAAATGTTTCAAGTTTACCGTTTGACGTATTCCAGCAATATTTCCTCCGGAAACTTGGAATGTTTACCAAACAACTATACAAAATAATCAACGTACCAATAATGTTTGCGAGTCATGGAACAATAGATTTAGTCATTTAGTCGGAGTGAAACATCCATCAATTTGGACATTAATCAATAAAATAAAAAATGAAATGTCGTCTGACCGTGCAAAACTTGCTTTGCAAACTGTAGGAGATTCCAAAACTAAATGTTCTAAATCAAAAACCGCTCAAAAGAGATTAAAAACATTATGTGAACGGTTAAATTCAAACGAAATTGCAGTAGATATATTTTTGAAAATAATATCCTTTGATTTAAGAAAACGATTATAAAATAGATATTGATATTATACATAGGTATTATATATATTTTAGATTCTGAACGAAGTGATGAATGTATTGATTTTACAATGATGTGCGTTTTTTTTTTTTGTACTAGGCTCCTAACATATTTTTACAATAGCAGTTGAAAAATAAAAGAAATACATAAAATACAAAAATAAAATAAAATACAAAAATACAATTTTTTTTTACAATCATTCAAATTTTAATTTTGACAACATACGTAAAAATCACGAAAATTCGCAAATTATTTTAAGCTAGAATTCATATAAAATTTTCTTTTTAAATCCAAGATTTGAAATTTTTAATAATCTCTAATATATCCTAGACAGATAAATCGCCTTCTTTCAGAATCGTTTTTCATATACAATGATACCTATCATTGCATTCAA